GCATAATTTCGTCGATAATTCTATCGAGCCCGTTGAGTTTGTAATTTTAATTTTTTTTTTTTGGGGTCAAGCATCCAATGTAACGAGCTTCAAACAATGGACACGAAATGCATCGGGAATAGGAAGTCATTTGGATGATAAAAGAGTGTCAAACGGCTGCACATTTTAAGGTGCAATCTTTTTGCACGAGCAATGCTCGGACCCCGTTCAATCTGGCTTCTCTATGCTAAATTTATAAAATCATCTCAATCTTATCGATGCGATAACCTGCTGAAGATTCATTAAATGATGACGTCGACACATTTGTAAACGTTAAGATTATGGAAACTCCGTCATGAAGGATCGACTCCCTTAACCGGCCAATCTGCCGATCGATGGCTAAATACTCGATGCTCCTCGCTTTCACTCGACCGAAACTTTTATCTTCGTTATAACAATTACTTTTCCAGGCGGCAAAGGTCGCATATTATGCCAGCGGCGCACGATTTAAAGCCGATCGACTGCATCGAGCGAGTGCAAACTTGATGCTGAAGGCTCAAAAAGTGTGCGCCGAACGCCTGACAATTTCAATATATCAATCCTTCAAGCCCCACTGATATTTAATTAAGCAGCGATTTGCATCACAGCACTTGAATACGTATGGCTTGCATAATGCGCACTCCACCTCAGCCTGAAATACAGTGGCTAAGCGAGATTATCTCCCGGGCGATTGGTGATCGCGTTCAATAATACGGTAATTTCGCAATGTCCAATTTATTATTAGCATAACATCGAGGGTGATGCAGCAGCGCAGCTCGGAAATCTGCGGACGCGGGTCGTGACGCTTTAATGAGCGAGCGTCCACACCGTCATATTTGAAAAGCAGCGAGAGGAGGTGGGGGGGGGGCGCGAGAGGAGCGACAAAGGTGAGCCAGAAATTAGGTTCACGACGTCCGTCGATTCGCAAGCTTTCCTCGTGGCTCTTGCGCTCCTTACTGTATCCGACGACCCGAAGATTATCAACGACATGGCCGTTCCTTTTTTTGTCCTTTTGTTTTTCTTTATGTCCACAGTCTTTCAACCGATATTACGCATACGACGAGAATGAGGGTGGAAGGGGGAGAGGAGAAGACACACGTAGGGGAGAATTGTAGCTGGCACACGGGAGGACGGAAGGACAATCGAGAGGTAATTAGAAGGAGATCCGATGGTCCGTAAGGCCATACATTGGATGCGCGAAGAGCGGATTATTTTTATTACTTGACAAGATTGCGACAAGGAGATCTGTCGAGGGCTTGGGGCGGAGATGGATGACGGTGGTGGTGGTGGTGGTGGTGGTGGTGGGGGCGATATCGTTCTTAATCTAAGCCGGAATTTTTTCATAATAATAGGGATAGCGAACAAAGCGAGTGAGAATTAGCGTCTTTGTGTGGGTCGCGATTGCATTTTTACTTTTTCTCTTCGACGAGAGGATTTTCACGGAGACCACGAAGGATCGGCTGTATTACACCTTAATCGCATGGAAATAATTTTTTTTATCGAAACGCCAGTTTCGTGCGAGCGAGTCTTGGGGAGCAATTTGCATGATCATGAAGCATTTGGAATAAGTGGATAGAACGGATAATATATATATATATATAAATTTGTTCGTTTTCTTTTATTAAATGAGCAAGTTAAGTGTTTTTAAAAACAGATTTTATTCCACATTTATCTCTGTACAGTGAAATAAATGAAGCATCGCAAAGTTTGTATAAACAATAAAAAAAAAAAAAAAAAAAAACACAAAAAAAAAAAGTAATATTCCTCCATAAACTATAACTAAGTAATATTTGCCAATTTTATCGCTTATTCTTGCAATAGTCTATAATAGATCGCAGCTCTCAGTTTGATCGCTGGTAACAACAATAATTATTCTGTTTGTATAAATTATTTAAAATTTCGGTGACGCGATATAACATGTACTTATATAATTTTCGTTCGTAGATATGCCTCTGATTGATCATTAACGATTATTTGACCGATTAAAATTATAAACTTATTTACAAGACTTATAAAATTTGTACAAGATGATTAATAAAATTATTATTGTTCGATAGTACAAAATCTCTTCTCAGCTACTACATTCATACATAAATAGTTGACAATGACAATTTCTCGGAGAATAACAAAATGTGTAAAGCGGATTAGACAAAGGGTTATTACGCATTTCGATTCCAATAATATACTTGCGCATGTTTATCGATCGTTTTCCCTTTCTTTATCTCATTTCCTTATCATTTCTCTTTGGTTTTCCTTTTTATTTAGAATTGCGTCAATTATCAAATCTCGAATTATTAATGAAGTTATAACGTTGCGCGCGAGTGCGCCGATTCCTCGCCAAATTCAATATTTAAATGCGGCCCCTTAGAGGCAACTTATTATTCCTTTACAAATGTCTCGAATAAACAAAAACGACAAAAAATGAGGATACAAACAAACAAATAGAGCGTTATTTAAAGAATAATGCTAAGTCTGCGAGCAAATTTCCAATTAAATTCACTATTAATCAACGGGGACCTCTTTTCATACATCGTATCATTATTATAATACTGCAAATAAATTAACAGATCTCGATTATTTCTAGGCAGCTGTTATCAATATATTGTATCTCGCGCATCTAAATCAATGTTCTAAGTATTAACGTAATTAACGTATCGCGCCCATATTTTTCATGAAAACACTCCGCTATGCTCTTTCGCTCGTAAAATCTTAAACGATTATAGGTATATAAAGCATTTAGCCGAAGCGAGAAGTATCTTCACCAAAATCGTTATAACTTCGTTAATAAATAGTAGGCAGTACGTAGTATCGTTAAATTTATCGATTCAATATACCGCTTCAAGAATCTTCGAGTTATGTCATGATCTATTAATGATTTTCATTCTGTCGAGATACGACCGAGGTATAGGCCCCTTTAATATAGATGACATTGTTAAGTATTAAAGCGACGCCGAGATTGCAGCGTCAACATTTTGCATTTACGGGAGGATCGATACTTTTTACGCCACTTTAACGAAAACTTCCGCTACTCTGATAATTACATATAGAATTGTTTACCGGGTCTTGCATACTGGCGTGTGTGCAGCGACTTTTCCAAATTTACCATTAAAGGTAACGTCGAGCTATAGGTGAGGTACGTACGTGAGCTCATTCAAAGCTTAACGAAACTTTCGAACCGCCAATTTCTCCTCGGCACATCGTTGTCAAATTATTCGCATCGCTGACTCATTCTTGACTACTAGCGCCTACATAAATGACTTCTACATTGCAGGAATATCCGAGACGAAGATTAATGTTTAGTTGTAATATACTGCGTAAAAAATTCTTAGAACCGGATGGAATTCGGAGCCAAAAAACGCAGAGTCAATCATTTTTATTAGAAAAAAAAAATATATATATATATATAAAAATAAATAAAAAAAGAAAGAAAAGAAAGAAAAAAGATAAAAGAAAAAACACAACGACACTAATTTATTATATCAACACTTTATTATCATTATTATTATTGGCTTTCTTTCTTTTTCGTTGTTTAATGTTTTTTTCTTCATTTTTTTTTTCGTTTTTTTTTTTTTCGTTTTTGTTTTGGTTTTCTTTTTTGGCTTACGTGCATTGGCATTTGGTAGACATAGCATAAAAAAGGCTTTATTGTTCCTTTGCTCTTAATAACAATGATTTTCTTAGATGCTTTGAACATATAATTTTATTATAATGGATTTTCATCTAAACGCGAAACTTTCATTAATTCGACATCGGTGAGTTAGTTAGTTGGGCATTAAATTTTAGAAGAATAGCACGAACAAAAGTAAAATCTTTGTCTACTAAACATTTGTGAGCACTTTAAAAGGACACGTTATCCCTATGCTTATTCGAAACTTATTTCTACCATCAAAACGTTTGCTTAATCACTTTTCATTTACAAGTGCTATTGTTAGATTCTAAATACAAAGGATGCTGATGTGATTTGTAAAAATTTTCAATTTAAAAACAAATGTTTAATGCGTCAAATGTACGGATATAAAAAAAATATTTTCTTTATAAATGATACTTTATAATGGAGGTTTGAATTTTCATTAAAAACACTCTCATTAGCAGTGTGTGTGTGTGTGTGTGTGTGTGTGTGTGTGTGTTAAAAAAAGAAAATAATTTTTAAAAAATTACAAACAAACAGACACAACAACAACAACGACGACGACGACGACGACGACGACGACGACGACGACGACGGCGACGACGACGACGACAATAAGCGAATAAGCGAAAAATGGACGAGTGGCGCTTGTTGAGACAAATACAAGATAAAAACAAGCGCCTTAATAATAGGGATAAGATCCTGTTAAACGATTGACAATGCTATTTATTGATGATACTAATTATTTTAGTAATAGTTGCAACGTTGTGATCTCGGCGAGCAGTGATTACCCATTAGGCATTCCGAGAACATGAGATCATCAATGGCAAATCATCGATATAATAATGCTAGTATTATGGAATACACTATTATCTCACCAAATTATGTATTTATCGATAAAGATCTCGTGGGCCGCAACGCGCATGTCGCTCGCGTTCCCAGCAGCGAATGAAAAATCGAACGAAACGAAATTCATCGAGAGCATACAGCGAGGCCGACAATTTATTAATTCTCCATCAAATTATTAGCATAGTGTTATAAAAAAAGAAGAAGAAGAAGAAGAAGAAGAAGAAAAAAACAAATGTCGCATCGCAAAATGCTTTCCTTACAAGTACGTCGAAAAGGGAGAGAAGCGGCTTTCTGCCGAGGCGACTACGGGCCCTCAGTCCCAGAAGCTGGAAACTACTAGTCCTTTTCTTTATTTTTAATGCCTCTTTTTATTCCCTCTCGCTTCCTTTCTCGAGTGGACAGGGCCAATCGAGAGCGAGGAGACGTCCCTCCTCCAGGCCGATCGGAGTAGTAAATTTTTTTTTTTCATTTTCTTTTTATTTTTTTTTGTTTTTTGTTTTTTGTAATTTTATATTTTTTGCTTTTTGCTGTTTTTTCGTTATAATAAGAAAGCCAGAGCAGCTTTTCACTTTAGAGTGAGAACGTGGCGCGGTACTCGGGCGGGAGGGGGAGGGGTACTCATATCTTTCGCAAGATACAAAACGTGCCTAACAGCTACCGTAGCTGTTGACGTAGCGACCGCTGTAGGAGCCCCGCGTCCAGGCGCCTGCGCGGTTCGAGTAGCTGTTGCAGGCCATCAGGGAGTTCATGCCGCTGGGCCGGTCGATCGGCACCCCGGGTCCACCGGCTCGAGCGAGGCTCGTACTGTGGGAGCGGCCGCTGTCCGTCAGCGATACACGCAGGTCCTCGCTAGCTCCGATCTCCGTGTAGGGCTTGGGGCCTCGTTTGCAGCAGCTCAGGAACATGAACGCCGTCACGCCCTGGATTATGTACGGAGATGTTTAGGTGAGGAGGCGCCGGCGATCGATAATTTTATTATCGAGAAAGGAAGCTAACGCCTAACCGATCGCGGCCACAATTTTATCAAAATTTGAAGTTTATAATTTAATTAAAAAACCAAAATAAAACCAAATACTCCGTTTGGGCCACGGTAGCACGAGGCGGCGGGGAGGATGGGTGGACACACGCACACGCGGACGCGCACAAGGTGACACCCGAAAGCCAATGCCCATGGATATTCTACTGTTCGGGGAATCGCGCGTGAAAAGTGGGCGTTTAAGCACCTTTAACGTTTGAGCGAGCGTCTGTGCGCGCGTGCGTGCGTGTTAATTATTTAAGGGACGCGCGCGAAAGAGCGTCTAAGCTTGATTGTGCGCGTACATGAGCCAAGGATGCCGAGAGCTATGGCCGTCGTCGTATTTTTACACGACATTTTTAACGCATTAATCTTCCATGGGAATTTTTTGCACGGCGAACTTTATTTTGGCACCCCGAAACTTTTAAAATATCTGGCCGATGCCTCGGTCTTACATCATTCGTTTCGATAGTCGGCGAGAAACTCTTTTTTTTTTTAGTGGCCATCTTGAGTTTTATAAATGTTAAACACAAGAAGTGCCACGTTGAAATGCCAGGCAGTTATATAAATAGGATTTTCTTCTTTTTTCTTTTTTTTTTACTCGGACGATCTTTTACAAATTTTGATCCCCAAAGATTTAGCTTCTTTTGATTTAAATCTTATTTCAGGCGAATTTCAATGTTACTTATTATAATCGTCGCGCTTCTTTCGAGATATTATCTCGTATTTTATTTGCAGCATCGAACGCACGAAAATTAACAGGAACATAATAGGATTGAGTGGCCTTGACGGATCAAACAAATATAATTTAACATGATGGTGGATCGCAGATAATATCGACAATTTTCGACACAATGACTTTAAAAACCCTCGTTATTCGATATTTCTTCGAGAAATTTTCAAATTTTTCTCTCATTGTAAATGCAGTGATTTAGGAAATGCATTATTGGTCGTTAGAAACTTAATCCTTTTAATTTTATAGCCGCCATAAGATAGGGCAAACAATAGCATTGCATATATCTTTCGTTCTCTTTAATTTTCGATAAAATTTCTGGAAATTCGCATACGTGGATATAAGATATAAGATACAAGTGACCTTAATGATTTTGATAATTTAAAAGAGGAAGAAAAAAAAACAGAATAAATAATTAAATAAAAATGACATTAATAGAATCTAGAGATTCGAGAGAAATTTACAAGAAGGCCATTGTTTATGGTGTGAAATTGTTAGATTCTTATTGTCCGAACGAACAAGCTCGCGTCCAAATATTTTTTTATACTATTGCCGAATCTTATGGGATGATATTTCTCGGAATTTTGATTGAGTTATGTAATTATTGGTCTATTTTTACGACTCTAAGATCGACTTTATATCGGTAGATTGTACATTGTTGTCTCTGACATTTTCTTGTGAACATGATTTTCATTTCACATGGATATTTATCTGAATCCTGTTTCCGTATGAATTATACGTCATTACCTAAAGCTATGCATTATTCATGAGAATCGAATGCTCAAAAGTCGTGATATTAATTTTGAATCAATGATGCGAAAATTGAAATGAACGATGTCTAGTTAAACAATAAAGAGTAATCTTATCAATTCTTTCGTGTGCCATTAATCTTAAACTCATCGTACAATAATGTAGCGAATGGTTTATTTATCAATTAAATTTATCCTTATCGTAATTTTTAAAGCTAATTTCTAGTAAGATATCTCGTGTCTTATATATCATTATAAAGATTTGAAATATTTATTTAAATATCGAGATTCGTAAGAGCATACTATGGATTATTATATTGTTAAAATTACTTGAATACCGATTGTTAAGATTTCAATTTGTTTCATAATTCATCGGCTCCGTGAAATTAGCATTTTCCAGCAATCCATAATCATGTAAATTACCATAGCTGATCTATCGCCCCGTAAGTCGGATAGATATTTTTAAAGATTCCGTGACCTGGACTCACCCTTAGCCATCCACAAGCTTATGAGAATGTAAATTTTTGCAATACTTACCACAATAAAATGCAATATAACGATAAACATGGAAGCGTTTCTAAATCCAATATTGTCAAACAATATGCCGGCTATACTCGGACCAATGAAGGCGCCGAGAGCGAAAGTACTCGTCCAAAGTCCACTAATAAGGCCGTAGGTTTCGATATTATTTGGAAATCCGTGAGATCTTAAAGAGAAAAGTTAATCGCTTGTATGAATTTCATGAAGACATTCGGCTATTCCGTACAACTACATATGTACGCGCGCGACTACAGTTGCGCCTGCAATGGAGTTGCCATTCCCGCTCCTTTATTTAGAACAAAATCATGTAGCAGGGGCTTATGAAACCGATCCCACTCATCCGCTTTAAACCGTTTCACGATAAAAGATTTATTCTTTTCTCATTATAGAAAATTTGATAAGAAACATGAGTAGAATAAACTTACTGATATACTAATTTGGCGCTAAGAATAACTTGAATTGTAAATTATATTGTCTTTGTGATATAGACTTATGCATAGATAAGATTATCAATACACGCGCACATCATATATATATATATATATATATATATATATACATACATACATACGTAAATGTACAATTGTTATGTGTACATACGTACAACGTATATGTATATATCGCTCCTTGACTAATCAATTGGTAATGTTCAAGTATTTTAAGTAGGATAATCGTAAACGATGATTTATTAGTGAATGAAAATAATTGAATGCCGTAAATGTGTTGCGATAACTTTATTTTCTTAAACGAACGAAAATTGAAAGGGGGGCTGACTCATGTTTTTTTTTCTTCGATTCGTCGACAACATACTGAGAAACATTCGTTTGTTGTATAGTCTGTCTCTCGGATTGGTGGATTTGTGTGTGACGTGCCTAGTCGCAAACAGGACACATGAGTCGCGTGTGAAAGGCCGAGGTACGCGAATTCCCCGACAGTGAGCTTAGAAATTGTAAGGCTGAATAAATCGAGCATCTCTAAGAAAGTTCACAGCGGCCAAACAATGCGTAATCAGCAAAAGATAAAAGAATCGGCAACGGTAAGTCGCTCACCGTCGGGCTCACACAGAGGCAGAGACAAATATATAGATAGATAGATAGAGAGAGAGAGAGAGAGAGAGAGAGAGAGAGAGAGGGTGGCGGGAGCAAAGTAACGTTAAAACTACAGTTAAGCACGCTATCGGGAATATAATTGTGGCAGCTAGTAGGGGCTTACTCACATCGCAATCCTTAGAGCGTCGGTGAAGCTGGCAACGAGCTGCGCCGCCATCCCCAGGCCGTGGATAACCAGCCCGCATATCGTCATCCAGAGCATCGTCTCGTAGGGTATGAAGGGCGCGGGTCCGATGAGGCCGAATCCTATCATCACTATGATACAACCGGCGACGGTCGCCACCTGCCGGTGTTTTCATCGCTCGTTACAATATTATTATTATTTCAGGGTCCCGAGGCTCCTCCTCCCCCTCGTACTCATTCTCCAAGGCATGGCATTGTTATTTACTCGCGTGCGCGGTTTCCTAGCGCCGGCGCGATTGACTTATTCCCTCGCTTCTTTCCCCTCCCCACGCCGCCAATCAATGCGAGACATTCCACGATAATGCAATTTTTGCGCGCGTTGCGCGTTTAATTATTCAATGATAACAATTCGAGTGTAATTGTAACTCATACCTCGTCGTGCTCATAATTAATTATTCATCATCGTCACGTTGGATAACTTTATTCGAATGCTCTATTATCGAATCAGATTCGAGCGATTGCGAGTCAAACATGCCATTAATGATTGAGTAAGGCTCGATCGAGGATAATCAAGGACTAATGCGTAAGCGACGAGTTTAGGAATTTTCAGTTCGAGATTTCACCCAGTCAACTTTATTATACGCAAATCCGAATCCGTTAATCCTAGGGTGCGCGCAGCAATGTTCGGCGAGGAGATGAGCTGGAGGAGTGGAGGGGGCTAGGAGGCTTGGTAGCATCCTTGCCTTTGGCGTCGAGTGTTTGTCGCACAGCCAACCCCAGACAGGCGCGGTCATCGCGTAGGTGCCGCCGTTAATGATGAACATCAGGCCCAGCACGACCGGGCTCATGTCGAATTGGCGCAGATGGGGCTCGAGGGTCGCCTGGAGGAAGCCGATGCTCATACTCGTGGCGACGATCGAGGCGCTCGCCACCATGACCCCTGGCACCTTTAACACCTTCATGAACTTGCCTGCGCGCAACGAAGGGATTAGAATTTTAAGGCCCGGTGAACGTTGTTCGCAACTCACCCTCGGTGCTCTGATTGTCCTGCTCGTTGTGCTGATGAATGGGAAGCACGAAAGCCGTGACCACGGCAGCGAGGAAGAGCGCGAAGCCGAGGACTGCGAATGGCGTTGTATATCCTCCTAACTACGAAGAACTCATTACATATACACTGCGCGTCTAATGTCTGCACACTTGCACGTGTTAGTTTATTTTGCCTCGTATTACTTACTTACCTACGCCTTCGAGAGGGACTTATAAATATATATTTTTAGAACAGCGAGATCGATATTATATTTTGAGATGGGGGCGTTTGATTTACATATTTTTTTTATTAAAGCGTCGAATATTTATGCCCACTGATTATAATTGCGAATATTAAATAAGAATTTTATATGTACAAGAAAAGTGCATCTATATGGAACTTGTGGACATTTTTCTCTCATGACGATTGATTGTTTTATGTATTATGAAAGCTGTAAAAAAAAAAAAAAAAAAAAAAAGTAACACCTACTCAACGAAATACCTTGGATTAAATGATATATATATATATATATATATATATATATATATATATATATATTTATATATTAAAAACTATATCGTAAAGATAAAATGTAAAATAATTTTGTATTTGCGTGCGTTTATATATATACATTATTGAGTAATAATACTCGCCCTCGATCCTTATTGTTTCGTTGGTAAAAAGAGAAAAAGAAAATAGCAACAAGAGCGAGAAAAAGCATTTCTATTAAGTAGTCGTATAATAATTATCAATTAGCTCTCGAAAGCCTTCGTTCGTTATCGGCTGTTTAGTCTCGAATTTTTTTTTTTTATCAGCAGCTCCCTCGGCGTATGTAAAACGAACAGTAATACCGTCGACACAATTTTGGCGTTAAGTAAAACCTGGAATAGAGCTCCTCCGACGGTCGGCCCGACGATGAGGCCCAGACCGAAAAATGTTTCGAGGCTCGCGAAGGTGGTGGCAACGTTATCGGGAAACTCCTTGGCTATGATGGCGAAGCTCGCCGTGAGAAAGGCAGCATTTCCAAGGGCCTCGATTATCCGTATGAGGAAGGAAAGAACGATGAAGGGGTAATGACCTTCGACTTTATCAAGAAGACCAAAGAAGATGGCGCACGTTCCAGTTGTGAGAATGCCTCCGTTGAATAACAGCTTGGGACCTATTCGATTAATCTGAAACGGGAGTCTCGGGTCAGTTTTTTTTTTTTTTTTTTTGTTAGGCGCTGCTTAGGCTTACACTTGGATGTGACAAGCGCTAATGTTTAAATGGACTCGATCAAATCCCTCAAGAGGAATTCATTTTTAATTATCTATAAAGTGACGCGCTTACCGACTCTAATGATCGATGCTTTAAGATCTCGCATTCACCACGATGATTATGAAAATCTCTGGGGATTCTTCAAGCAAAATTTCCAATCTGCTCGAGCAGAGAAATTTGACAGCGACTCTTTACGTCTTACGTCTGCTTATTCAAAAAAAAAAAAAAAAAAAAAAAAAAAAAAAAAAAAAAAAAAAAAAAAAAATTCTGTACAATCTTTCT